GAAACCAGCAATTCCTCATAGCCACTGTGACTGTAATGGAAGATAACTGTCTTGATGTAAAAATGCACCTGGTCGTTCAGTAGAGACACAGACACGGGAGTACTTAGCATTGGGCAAGATCAAAGGCAGCCTGAGTTTTCCAGATTCAATTCATTTCCCAGGTTACCATTTTGCTTGCACACATCAACCACTTTCTGCTAGTAGTTACCTCATTTTTATGGAAAGCACAGAAAGGACTGTGGTCATTTCCAAGACTATCCATCTGGCTTAAGATGAAGCTTTCCATCTGCTTTGAAAGTATTACAAATCAGTTTGTCGTTGTTAAAAAGGGACTAAAATTAATTATTGTTGTAGAATTGAAAGAGAGGGCTCATCAAATGGTGATGTTACAGAGTTACTGTATTTTCTAAGCGCTTTAGAATTGCTAGCATAGCATGGAGGGAGTCTATGATTTAATGTTTTGGCTAATTATTTAGATCATCTTACTTGTATGTTGGGATACATATGCAAGTGGCACAAATAAGCTTAGCTGCAACTAGGTCATTTAAATGGCATCAGTTAAGACTAGCTGAGAATATGAGTAACTGTATTAGTTCCATAAACTTCTGTATTTGGGTTGGCAGCCAAAAGCTCTTGGGAGTTAGTGGGATGTGTGAGTGCTCTGGTTGCGTCTATCTCAGTTCTAATTCTTCCACAAGGATTTATTATAGCAATTCAACACTTCAAAACTTCCTTGGCATTGGCAAAATCCTCAAGAACCTGTTTTAAGATGTCTTTAGTGCTGTTTTATGCCACAACATTCTGCAGTGGCTTCTTTCCTCTCAGTAGTATCTCTAGAGCAATGCAGTTGCAAATTAACCAGCATAAACCAACTGTCTCTGATAAGTATGTGTTAATTTGGGTTATTTCCCAAATTATTTCTTCCATAGCTGTATACAATGCATCACATTTCTTAATTATTTTCTCTCCCTCCTCAACATTCTCTCCTAGTGTGTCTTGAGTATACTTTAATTGGCTAAGTTCCCTTTCTTTTTAGCAGGGGGAGGCAACTTCAAAATATGGTTGAATGTTGCCGGTTAACAAATATGTTCTTTCTGCATATACTTGAAAGTATTCCATGCAAACTGTTGTAATTAGTGATTGACTGGTTGATTGATTGATTTTTTTTTAATATAAAAGTTTTGAGACTATAAAGGTCACGTTTGTTTTTATGCTCTGAAAGTAGGAGAAACATATTTACCAACACAAAGCTTGCACTCTAACTTGATAATCAACAGCTTCATTATTTTTGTTGGAAGGAAGTGTGATTATAGCTGGAAAAAGTGAACAGATCCATGCATGCAAATATGCTAGCCTAATTGCACCGTGTGTCAAGCTGCTTGACAACAAACACCATGAGACACAGAAAATAGCTAATATGGAGGAAAGCTTACCGTAAAAATTATTTTAACTTCAGTGTTTACCTCTCCACAGTTAACAGTGGTCTCTTGTACTCTTAGTAGAGAATGACTGTAGTAGCAGTCAGATGTTCCAGTCAAGGTCACACTACACTGAGCAACGCAAATTTACCGGAACAAAGAACTGAAGTGCTGTAGCCCTATAGTTAGCAGTATTTGATACCACAAATGATAAAGGTCAACTGAGAAACTGGACCACTGCCTTCCTCCCAGCTGGTTCACACTGCAGCTGCTACTGTGGTGCAAGGCCCAAGACAATGTGAACAGAAAATAAACTTGCCTCAAAAAGAGTTTGTAAAAGCAAAGCTTAAGACACCAAACAGTAGCTCCAAACTACAGGAGACAGTGACTCACAAAGATAACAGTAAGTGATGATTGGTGTAATTTTTAGGGTGAATGGGAGGCACATATTGGTATAAACCCCAAGTTTTCAAGATGTGAACAATATAACATAAAAAAAAAAAAAGGCTTTTCAATTTATTGCTGTCCACAAAAACGGGACAGTCTATGAATACAAGGCCCAAGACAATGTGAACAGAAAATAAACTTGCCTCAAAAAGAGTTTGTAAAAGCAAAGCTTAAGACACCAAACAGTAGCTCCAAACTACAGGAGACAGTGACTCACAAAGATAACAGTAAGTGATGATTGGTGTAATTTTTAGGGTGAATGGGAGGCACATATTGGTATAAACCCCAAGTTTTCAAGATGTGAACAATATAACATAAAAAAAAAAAAGGCATTTCAAATTATTGCTGTCCAGCAAAACTGGACAGTCTATGAATAGGGTTTGAATGCAGAAGACTGATTTTAAAACAGCCTGTTGATTCAATAAAAATCTGCCTTTACGCATGACAGTTTTGCATTCCCTACTTGCAGGAGTGTAAAGGGCAAAACTGTGATTTTCTTTATTGTGTAGGATTTGTGTAGCTCAACTGGCTGCTGCTTCTGGTCTTTGCTGCTTTATCTCATCTGAAGTTCTCCTTGTAGAAGTCATAGCTTCTTAGCACCAGAGTTGGCTTAGACCTCTTGAGACATGACTCAGCTGAAGCATGTCAGACTAAGTAAGCTGTCTCAGGCAAGCAGGCAAAAGGATTTGCACTTCGTAGTTAGCCAAAGGTTGTAGAGGTGGCTGGAGAAGAAGGTGGTGGTAAGGCTAGCAGCACTTTCTGCTTAGCAGACCATGGCACCCTGGCATGGTGTGTGGTCAGACTCATCCAAAACCACTTAGTTTGGAACTACTCATTCCAAATCTTGGATCTACTTGGCCTCTTTCTTCATCATTTTTATCTATGCAAAGTGATTGTAAAGTGATAGATGACTGGCAGGATTTTACTATTGCTTCACACAGCTGTAATTGACTGTGTGAATTTGAGACTTTATGGTATGTTCTCTTTGCTGGAGAAGTCAGCATGCAGAGGTCCTGTCCTCTCCACACGTGCTTAGGCTGTTTCATCCCTGGCTGCTTGTTCTTGTCCCTGTGTCACCCCTTCACTTGTGTTGACACAACTGTTTGTTAGGACTGTGCTAAAAACATATGTGAACTGGTTTGAATTACAAACACTTCTCATATGATTCTTCATCTGGACTCATAAATAATTGGGTCTGTACAGCTGGGAGAGGAGGGGAGGCAGTGCACAGAGGAATGGACCGCTGGGGAAAGATGAAGGGGACATCCTGGAGCTGCCAGTGCTGCTGAGATGGAAGTATCAGATGCTGTGTTTGTCAGCTTGTGCTTCTGCACATTCAGAGAGGCACAGACCAGCCTCAGCTCTCCCAAATCACTAATTTTAATGGTACTCTGTAGAGCAGGTCCATTACAGGACTTGTTCAGGAGCAAATTGTTCTGAATAATTTCAGTTCTTCCCTATTCTTTGTGTTCTGTGTTTGTTGTTTTCACTCTAGGATCAAATCAGGAAAATAGTTCCCAACTGTATATATTTTCAAATTAATACATCATTTCTGGGGAATTATAGGCAAACAAGATATATGTTTGTTCTCTCTGGATTTACCATTTGATATTTAAACTACCTATACCACAGCCCTCTGAGGCAACTAATTAGTGCATAACAAAATAAATAGTCTGAGCAGGAGCCCTCAAAGAAGAGGTGAATATGCACATCCCAGGAGAACCATTAATCCTGTGTATGAAGCACTTCTGCTTCTGGTGAGTGCAGAAATTGTCCTTTTTGACTGGGTTATTTTTTCTCTACAGATGAGAGGAGCATATTATAGTACCAGGCACATGTTATCTGAAACTGGTATTTCACAAGTAGCTAAATATAATATGTCAAGTGTATTGGTATGAACTAGTATGTAATCTCTGGATCAAATCCCAACTTTTCAAAAGGTCTCCTCACTTCCACTCTCCATTTTGGCAGAGAAATAAGACGACACTAATAGTAGAAGTGCACAGACAGCCCATTTTTAAATGGCAGGTTTATTAAAAATGTTCTCTATCACAAACATTGGAAACATACTCAGCAGATTTTATTTTAACTGAAAGATTCAGTAGATAGTGGAAAAGGAGTAACTGTCAATGCAGATCAACCACTGAATTATGAGAAATAACGGGCCAGTTTCCACAGCAAACTCCTCACAAAACCCCAATATTACTCAGCATCATCAGGTTCCAGTTTGTGTTTAGTCTGCCCTGAGGATGAAGCACATAGTTCACGAGCTTGAGCTTTGGGTTTATACATATTTACAGTAGAACAACCTACAGATTACAGGAGAGGACACATTAGCACCAGTGCTTATGGATTACGGCTCACATCGCCTCTGCCACTGCATGTGCATGGTACTGACTCTACTGAAGAGTTAGGTTAAAAAAAGGTTAATAAATCTGGCACTTGGAAGGCAAACTGTGCTCTGCAGTGACCTAGGAATTCTTCATGTTTTGTATCACACTTGAATGCCTGTCTCTGAAGGCTGCCCATCAGAATTACCTTAATGTGCTTTCTTGCAAAAATGCATGCTTTCCTTCACCTCTGCCTGAGGTGTTATTTAGTAATACATGTAACCCCTTGAGATCAGGAAATCAGTGTGATTTTCTTACTGCTGTTCTAAAACTAAGCACAAACTCTGTATTTAGTGAATATTAGACAAAACTAGTATCTTTAGCAGTTTTGGTGAAACATTTTCACATAGCAAAAAATCTACATAAATACAGTGTTCATAATTACTGAGATTCACAAAAAAAGGCTTTGGTTAGAAAATCAAAAAGGGTCAAATAAAAAAAAAACTTTAAAAAAAGAAGCCAAAGAAGTGTCAAATACTATATTGGAGTCAAACGAGTGCAGAATAAAACAGTAGACGTCCATTAGTTAATTTTTCAGTATTAAAATCTTCCACCTAAAGAAGCCCATGTCTCTTGCAAGCTGTGTGCCTTTCCTGACATTCACAGCTGGTCTCCTAGCTCCAGTACAAGCAGGGTGGTGATAATTCCACATTTTCCTGTTCAAGGCAAAGAGTCCCTCTTCCAGCTGTGAGGTAGAGATTGGGTATCAGGTCACTGGGGTATGAGATACCACTGAGTGTAGCAGTTACACATTTGTTTCTAGTTCATTTATTTCAATAGTGCAGTGATCTTTACTGTTGGATTTCTTAGTGTGATTCTCCACTGGACTTTCTTCTTGCTCCACTTGTACGGGTATGTGGTGCTGAAACCCTTTCACTGTTTCTGGTCCACGAGATTCATTCATGGTCTTCACACAGCCATTTCTCTGGTAAGCCACAATCTGGCGGATGTTAATAGGCTTAGTTTCACAGATCAATGGCACCTATGTGAAAAGCATTAAGATTTGGAATACTGCCACTGTTTGCTGTATACAACAGGAAAGGAATTTTTACTTTGAAAGCCTGTGGTCTGCTTTACATTCACCAGGATTATCTAGGGCCTCCATAGACTTCCAGGACCTGTTTCTCATATACACTAAAGCATCTTTGAACCATCTGGATAAACTGAAGGTGTCTTTAAGTATGTAAAAATGCAAATTCTGTCACAAGTCTAATTTAACTTATACCCACAGTAATAACTGCTTGCATCAGTAAAGCAATACAAGTAGGGTAAATACAGACTAGAATTTCAGGGCTAAGTTCAAAAGATACGGACTCTCAATGACCAGTATGCTGAGCTTTGGGCAGTGCTTGCTCTTGAGTGCAATTACATAGACCAGTAAGTATTTGTTGTTGTCTTCTGCCTTTCTTCTAACCCAATAAACTAACACCTGTCTTTTTAGTTTGCACTATTTCAAAAGAAAGAGAGGATTTTATTGACTGATTCATAAGTTAAATATTGAAGCGTCCTTTAAATCGAACCAGAAGCTCTGATGGGGAAAATAAGACGCAAATACTGGCAGAGAAAAGAGGTGGGCTTGCAGCTGAGAAAATTTGGCCTTTGAGTATACATTACTAACTCCACAAATTGTGCAGCCAAAACATATGGCAGACTAATGGTATATTTTAATACAATTATAGAGCACGATGTGAAGAAAAATCTCATCACGGATGACTAAATAATCTCTTGGGAGGGATTTTATATTCTTGAAACATCTCTTCTTGAGTTCTGACTGAGTTCTAAATACAGCAATGAAACGTCAGGAGGCCTGTGTTATGCAGGAACTCAGGCTATGCTTCTGGCTTCATAACAGATGACATACCTTACCATTAGGCTGTATGTTTAGTTTTTTTGTAGCTAGCTATATGTGTAGTCCATATATTCAGGCCTAAGCCTGTCATCAGTAATTACTGCAGGTGCTAAGTGCCTCAGAGGATAAGGCCTGTCTTTCTATATAAAAATCAAAAGAGCAGGAATTTTAAATGCATGTTGCAGGAAGGCATAAGAATGGGATTTACCAGAAAGACTGGCTGTAAGGTGGGAGAAATAATAATAGAAATAAAACTTTGCTGTTAATTCTGTTGTTCTTTCTATAATACTACAAATGATGCGCAGAAATGAAACATGCCTTGTGATAATCAGTCCTGATGAAGAAACTTTTCTGCATAAACTATTCTGTCTTTGTAGAAGAAAGGTAGTGAGAGTCTGCCATGAGCTGAAATGGTTGGAGATTAGCACCTCCAAGCATGGTGGGCTTGTGGAATTAGGAATCTCCTTTGTCAAGGATTTGAAGGAAGAGCATGAGAAGGAGTTCCTGGTATAAGGAAAGACTGATTGATGCATGCCAATGAGGTAAGAAAAAAAGCATGGGATTGGAGGGAGGCAGGGGCAGGATACAGGGGTATGTGTGGTGTATAGAATAAGATATAGAGAAGGAAAACTAAAGATGTGAGGAGGGACTTGTATTAAACGTAGAAGGCATGAAGAAGCCTGAGTGAAGTCAAGAACGCAGCAATGTGCTTGTGCTAGTCCAGAAAGGAAATGATTGCAATGGTCGTTTCAGATTATGCTAACACAGAGGCTTGAAACACCCAGGGTAGTTGCTTTTGTTGTGAGCTTATTGGTTTTGCATATACACACTCATAGATACCTTTACCTCCCCCTACACACAAATACTCAAGGACATTTGTTGCTCTGCTCTGTTGCTGGTCACATTTTTAGAAGGAAGACTTACTGGCCAGTCAGGACTTGGGTACTGAGTGTGAGACTCAGTTCCAGCGTCTCGTGCATTTGCAGGACAGTGCAGCTGCTTCTCCTGCTCCAAGCCCTAGTGTGCCAGACACAGCTGGCTGGCAAGCTTTGAACTTGAGTGGTTGTTTTGCATGACCTCATGCCAAAGGATGGCTCCACCCCATCTGGCTAAGCAGCACATTGCCCAATTCTCTCCTCTCTCTGAAACGCCTTTTATAAACTAGATGAAACAAATGTGGGAGTCTGAGAGGTTGCAGGTTCTCTGCTGTAATATGGCACGTGCTGGCACACCCTGGCTCATGGCGTTGTTACCTCATCACCATCCTTGATGAACTCCTTCCGGCAGATGTGGGCCATGATCCCAGCAGCCAGCGCATCTCCCAGGACATTGATCATTGTTCTAAACCTGTCTCTGAAAAATGAAATAGTAATGGTAAGTTGCTGGCTCTTTGGGTACATGCCTATGCCTTCATCACAGCAGTAATTATAGCTGAAGGCCAGTTTGGCTGTTTTTATGAGGTAACAAGTTTAGAAATGGTAGTAAGGAGTTTGGCATGGGGCAGCCACTAGTTACTAAGCTGATCAGTTGGGTTTTCCAGCCTTTTCAGAGCTCAGTGCCCTGTGCTGCCACATACTTTAATTTGTATCTGAGCTAACTAGAGCAGCTGTGCCTCCCTATACATGCAAGCTGATTCAGCACTAAAAAGGTTTAACACAGCAGATCAAGATTGCATTTACGTCTAAGTTTTTATGTTAAGGTCCAGTATTATGGCCTGATTTGGAGGCCGGTGCTGCTTAATTCAATAAAAGTAAAAGGCAGCCAGTACAACCAGTACCTTGTATTAGTTATCAAGGTCCCAATCTCAGCAACCAAAGCACTAGTTAAGAAGATTATTGTATTGCTGGAATGTACAGAACACAATTCAAAACTCAGAAGATTGCTAAATAACTGCACTCACAAACTAAGCAGGAACCGACCATATTTAAATCACGTCCATTTCTGAAAAAGCTATGGTTGCTATGGCTACCAGTGGCTCTTAAAGAATCCCCGTTTTCAGTCATCATCTTTTCCAATTTAAATTTGTATGCTTGACAGTACTTTGTATATATACAGTTTCACTATTTTTCATTTATTCATTTATGGGATCATTTCTTCCCTGTTTACACCTTCTACCCACTGTCTAAAAAGTAAATCTATTAAAATACAGGTTGTAAATACACAGAAGTAAGTGGTTGTCATAGACAAGTGTTACACTTGAAACAGCTTGGAATCTATAAGTTAAAATTGATGAGATTTCAAATAGACAATATAGCTTTTAAGTCTGAAATATATAATGTCTTTTCCAAGAAAAACATATACATCTGAAAACTATGTCATATTGGTAATGTAATTTATAAATGCGGGTTATAAAATTGAGGTTCAGAAATCTCCAGATGTTTGGCTTATTAAAGTCAGTGACAGTCCAATATCAACACTGCCCAGATTTCTGATCCTGTATCTTAATATAGAAAATAATTGAAACTGTGTGCTGATTTTTTTTCAGATATTTTAGGCATGTACTCTGTGCATGCAAATGTTTATGCAGTTGCTTGCCTAATTAGCATGAAAGTTCCTGCATTAAATGTTATTTGTGTGTACAGTTACCCAATTGTACATGCAGTTGCAAGTAACTTCAGCAATAATATTCCACAGCCTACACCTAGATGTGGTTGTTGACTCCAGGACCCAGTCCTACACTTGTTTGCTGAATCCTTTTTTCTAATTCCTACTGTTCTGATTTTGGGTTTTGCCTTGAGGAAAATTCCCACAAGAATATGTTAAGCAGGGAAAAATACTGTTACAGCACATATTGATAGATGCTCCTGTTACACATAGACTTTTTTTTTCCTTGGTTGATCATCAAATTTTGATTCTTGGAAAGATATTCTGAGTTGTTAATTTTGGATTGTGCAAAGAGTCAGCTGTGGTAGAGAAGAAGCTGTATGAGCAGAGCTCAAGAGTTTGCACTCGCTTTTGGGCTCTGATTAGCATCTCTTCTGAAGACAGAATGTTTCTGAGGAAATAGTGCACCATACTGAAACTCTTAAGAAAATGGATTGCCTGGCACGTTGTTTGACAAGTTTTATTCCACGTTTCTGTGTGTAAGGAGTAGTCTGCGCTATGCATGAGTAGAACCACACTGCACACCACTGACGTTTCTCCACTAAGAGGCCAACCTGCTGCTAGTGGCATTTCTTTCAGTGCAAACCTGCGACTCGGGTGTTGCAGTGGTATTTTAGCTTTAGATGGTATTATTAAAGATGCAAAATTAAAGATGCAAAATTTTTACCTTGCATTTAATAAATTAGCTGAGAAACATTTTTATTTTCTTCTTTATGTCTCTAGGCACTAGCTAAGGGTATGAAGTTCAAGACATGTTATGGCTACCTAAATGAATTGTAATACCTGCAGTGCATTGCAATGGGTATTTCAGTCTTGTGAGATCATCTAATCAGCCTTCTTTAAGCATTCTTCATACTCCAGTACTTCCAAAACTAATATTGAAAATATTCATCATGTCAACCATGTTGACACTTTGCATCTGCAGGCTCCTGAAACCACCAAGTGCCGAAATATAGAAATATACTTTTTGTATGAAAGGTCATCTGCAAAAGACAGAAAATTGGGTCTGTTCCTGCTCACTTTTTAATACCATCTGGAACTATAGCCTGAAAAAGTTTTTTGTCTGTTGTTTTGAAAAGTTTTGTAACACAAAAAGAAGCATAATTTCCATATACACTTACTGGAAGACTTACTGGAAAAACAATGAAATGTTGATGTTGCAAGAGCTGGGTGAAAACTGAGCAATATAGAGGGAAAAGGCTTTTGCAATACAGCTTAAAATACTTTGATTTTGTTGTGCTTCATTAACTTTTGAGCTTCAGTGACTAGCATTAGAAAGGCTGCTTTATTAAAATCTTAACTGCCATTCCCAAATTTAGGTGCCCACAGCAGATACTATTTATCCTTCACAGAAGAATATTCCTGATATTCCTAAAATAAAATATGTCTTAAAATATGCCTACAACACAACATTCGTGACTCCTATTAATAACAATTATATACTATTACACTGAACAGGAAAGTAAATAATTTCTTCTCACAATTCTTTGTACAGAAGATCAGTGGCTTCAAGTTGAATAAAGTGGGATATATAACAGAATGGACTTGTAGCACGTTTTTACCCAGAACCTTGATGTAATGAAACTCCACTGTATTAATGGAGATATATTTTATATAGATTAAATAAAAAATAATTTGGACTGTTTCCTTGTGGATGCATATGCTAGTTATGTAGTTAATTGAAATGCTAATGAGCTAGGGAACAGTAGTTTACAATTCATCTTCCTAGAGTATTCAAAATTGTTTGACTAATTTATGGACATTTACATAAAAGTTAAGACTTCAAATAAACCACTCCTTATGAGTTTTAAAGTGGCTCTTCTCGTGGGTATCACAAATCTCTTTTATTCTGAGTGTGTTAAGTTTTAGCCTCTGCCTCTGCTGTTAAATCCTCAGTGATTAGAGATGCAGCAAAGTAACCTCTCTACAGAATGGCTGCGCTTGCAAAACATGGCTCTGTGCAGGGGGCTACAAATTGCTGCTGCCTATTTAGCACTGAAATCAGAAAGAGCAGAATTGCATCAGGATCTGTGATAAAAGGAAGACATTATTAGTCCTAATGCAGTGCATTGCAAGTATTACATTCTGGTTGACCGTATCATGTTTCTAGTTGCAGCAGAAGTAGCTATATACAGCACAAACCATTACTGTACTGTCATGGCTATTGCAGGCAGAGTGGTATCTGTGGTGTGGCAGTACTTGCCTGCTTTAGCACTGGCTCATGCCTCTCTGCAGAGTGCTTCACTATGTTAAGATGATGTCTTTCAAGTGTCAGTGGGCTGATAAGCAGAGTGCGGGCAAAGCATGTTTCCTAGGAATGTCAGCCCCTTGTCCTTGTCTAAGGCAAGGTGCTGGAGTTGCACCTGACGGATGTTTGTCTAGCCTGACCTTAAAACTTCTCATGAAGGTCATCCTCCAACCCAGCTAGGTGCAGCCACTTCCATTGCCTGACTATCCTTCTAGATAAAAATCATTCTTAAGTTTTCCTGTGATCTGACTTAAGGTAGTTACTTTGGTCTAATTCGTCATCTTCCCTCCCTGTGAATGTGAAGAACAATTGATCACTGTCCTCTTCAGGACAATCTTATCTATATCAGAAACTGCTGTGGTGACCTCTTCCAGCCTGCTCTGGTTTCAGACTAAATGAATTCCGCTTCTTCAGCCTTTCCACGTAGGTCATATTGCCTAAGTCTCATCTAGACTCTCTCTCATTTGTCTATGTCTCTTTTCAATATAATGCCCACCTCAGCAGAGTATTTAATCTGAGGCCACATTAGCACCATTTCAAGCAAAAGAATTACTTCCCATGCCTTTTATGTATATTTGTATTACTATACCGCTGGAGACCATTTGCTTTTTTAGCAATGTTGCCACACTGGAAACCTCAAAATCTGAATGTTACTTACAGTGCCCAGTCGACAGCAATAATCAATGTGATGTCATCTGTTGGGAGCCCAACCGAGGTCAGAACAATGACCATTGTCACCAGGCCAGCTTGCGGGATACCTGCAGCACCTATGCTTGCAGCTGTTGCTGTGATACTTTAACAAAGAAAGAAAGAAAGGAATAAGCTTTACCATTGATGGGTTGCTCTGCAAGAAACTACACCATGTTTCTACAGGAGCTTTCCTAAACCATAATCCTTCTTACACAAGGCACTGCACAGGTGTGCCAGTGTTTTGTGGACAGAAGCCAGGTCAGAGGGCAAGAACAGGCCAATCTGTCTGCCCAGTGCTGAATTCTCACCCTCTGCCTTTGCAGCCTTGGTGCTGGTGGGGCAGTTCTGTTATCTCTTAATATCAGAAGTGCAGAGAAAGGGGGGCAGCCAGGCTGTGGGCTTCTCTGAGTTACATCAGCTTCTCGCTGTGTGCCACGAATCTGCCAGCACTCCTCATCGCTGCTTCACCCTTGGCAGCAGAGCTCCCAGCAGACATCTCTGAGTCATCATTGGCAGTTCCTGTGCCAGGCAAATCCGCGGCTGGCTGCAGCTAGGGCCTTTAATGTCAATCCATCACAAGGAGGCTAGGCCAAGGGTAAAAAGGCTGGGCCAAGGGTGAAGTCCTTGCATAGCACATGGCTTTGCATACTTGGATCTAAATATGAAGCAAGCGTGAATGTGACTGTACCTCTTCAGTTTCTGGAAAGTATTTTTACTTGACCTTCACACCCTTTTTTCAGCCAGGCAAGCAGAAATGAATGGGAGACCAGGGCAAGAGTGGACCTGGCAGGCTTAACATTGCTTTCATAATGCTATTTTTAGAGGAGGGATTTCATTCCTTTTTCCAGGAGCAAAAGTGACTGGATATATTCATTTCCGCCCATCTGGCCACTTGCAAGAGCTAGGCCATCCAGCAGAAAGACAAAAAATGAATGTTGACAATTGTAAAAGGATGACATAAAGCATATACACTGATAATCCACTGCATTCATCAATCCAGAGTTTCAGAGCTTTTGGCAAGGAGTTAAGTCTCATCAACCTCCTATGATGGAAAATGAGGGTAACAGTATTCACCCATGTGGAAACTGAGACACAGAGCTAGGCAGTTATCTTGCTCACAGCTGTACAGTGTACCAGTAGAGCAGCATCAGTATTTATAACTAGAGCCCTTTCCTGCAATAAAAAAATACATTTGCATGTGGGTGTGACGGGGAATGAGAATAATTTAAAACTACATTTTGAAAGAGTTAGGCTGTATAGCATCCTAATAGCATTGTAATAGGCAGAGTATCAATAGAAAGGAAGGGACAAAAGCTCAGATGTTGAGTAAGAGATAAATATAATGAATATTAACAGGTTCTCCAGTTAGTGCTATAAACTGGCTAGCTGATTAGGACTGCTTCTGCCTCCTAAGACAGTTCAGGCCAGAAAATCTCATGACTTAATTGGGAATGTTTAACTAAGATTCTACAAGCAAGCTCACCTGCTATTCCATTGAATTTTGACCTTAATGTAGATGTTTCTTCCTATAATATGCCCAGCTGATGGGAATAGGATCTTAACTCTCTTTTTCTGCTACATCTAGGTTTGCATAATCACATCAATACAAACTGTCAACCTGGATTTTACAGATTATGAGCAAAGTAGACTGATAATTTTTCTAATTTTTTTTTTTTTTTTTGTCTCTGGCAAAAATATCCTGGCAGTCAGGAATATTTGAATTTGAAATCTCCAGATCCTAAAGTATCAAGATCTGGGACAGGTTTGGCCCACAGAATACAGTTAATATTTGGCTTCAGATATTCAAGGTACTGAATCCACTGTGATTTCCTATTTACCTTCTCCTTTTGTAAGTCAGTCTTTTTATTTCTTTTCCTTTCTTGGATTTTTCCACTCTTCATTTGTATTTTCCTTCTACTGTCTTTACTTCTTTCCGGTCTTTATGTACTAGCACTTAATATGGGGAGTGAAAATAAAGGGATGAAATAGGGTTCTGCTAAGAGAAAGTTAGAACTTACCTTCTTTCCATTTACTATCACCCTCCTTCTCCTTCATTTTTCAAATCACCATTCTCTGCTTCAGGGTGTATGTAATGTCTGCCCATGCTCTGGGACATATTTTGGGACCATATTCTAAAAACATCTCCAAATTCAAAATCACCAAAGACTAAATTTTAGCACAGGATTATTACAATAATTTTCTGGGAGAAAGAGAGCCTGAAGCAAGAGCTCATATGGGCACAATTTATTTCTTCTGCTTCTAGTCTGACCAGATCTTGCCAGAAGCCCATTAGCAAACCTCAGCTGTCATCTGGGTTAGTTTCAGGACTCTCCTCCTCTTGTCATGAAGGTTTTCAAGTCCAGCAGAAGATGGGCAAGGCCCAGCAGTGTAAACGGGGCAGTGATGAGGTCACTGGGTGGGTAGGTAAGTAGATCTCAAATATGTTGCACAAGGCTCTGACTATGAGGAATGTTTTTGTAATCATTTGTTCCCTGCTGGAAACCTGCAGGTTTCAGTCCCTGAGGCATTCTTTGGCAGCCACTGGAGTTATTCTGGCAGTAATTGTTCAGCTGGATCTTCTAGTCTTTTGGATCCATTACAGACCTTTCAAGGACAGAGTATGCAGCTATAGCATTCTCTACCCACTGAGAGCATGGTTGTTTATGAAATTTTCTGCTTTAACAAGCAGCAGAGAAGACATTTAAAGAATATCTGAGTGATATGACATCTTAATGAAAACCTGCCCTGATAGTAGCATCTGTCCTCCTTCCCTGTTCCCCTGCTCCTTCAAGGTTTGACAGAGCTTCCTAACACACACTATTCCCTGTTATCTGATATAGAACTTTTTGCATTTGTTTTGCATTTTTTTAACCTTTTCCTCTCATGTAAAGATGCAAACCAGAGTTAAAGTTGAAAACAATTCTGACATTTAAAATAGAGTTTTAAACACCAATATTAATAGTAAAATGTTCCAATCCTAGTAAACAATCAATGGGTTGCCTAAAAGTAAAAATTAGACAGTTATCCTCAAACAGAAACACGTTTCCTGATGTCCACATGCTTCTATTGAACGGTACCAGTACAATTTCCCTTTGTACAGTCCCTGATCTCTGCATTACTGAAAGATAACCATCCTCTGATGAATGGATTCTTTGATAATAGCAAAGATGAGTTTCGTTCTGAACATCGCTACATACAAGAATCTTAAGAGTGTCAGACTCAACAAGACAAGCAAATTGCAGCATGTGGAATTTGACGTTTATACCTTATAGTGATAATCTGCCCAAAGTCCAGCTCATAGTTGTTTACTTGCGCAATAAAGATGGCAGCCACCGCCTCGTAGAGTGCCGTCCCATCCATGTTGATGGTGGCTCCCACAGGCAGCACAAACCTCGCAATCCTCCTGTCCACATGGTTATTCTCCAACAAGCACTTGAAAGTGATAGGCAGTGTGGCTGAGCTGCAAAACAGTGGAGAGAAGCACACGTTGAATTATTTTTATTTCTGGGGTATAGAACAAATTGTAGCAAGCCTTCTCCAGGCAGGGTAAATTTTACTCTAACCATGTGAGCACTGCTTCTCATTCTTTGGTACGCAGCTGTAACTCACTTGCCCTGTAACTCACCCCTTTGCTTGAGGTGGGTAAAGACAGTTACATGTATAAATGCTAGAGTTTTAGTGCAAATTTTGCTTCCCCCAAATTAAAAATGTTTTTTTCCCTTTTTCTTCAGAAAAGGGATAGAAATCCCGCAGAGGCAGTATTGCACTCTCAAATGCAAGACAGGGGAAACACCCTGTGCAGCTTATTAGTAAAATCTCTGAAAACTGTTGTGCACTCATGGTTTCTAAAAAAGTTTCCTTCCAAGCCTTCTGAAATAGAAAGCCATTTCTAAACAGCAAGAGTAACTATAAACAAGGAAAAGTATAAAGCAAGAAGGGCTCTTAACTCATTGTATGGAAATGCTATATAAATGCCCTTAGGGATTGTTCAAGTTCTCACTGCATATTGACAGTAATAAGACGACCAGTTTAGGCAATGAATTATAATGGTAGTGAGAGCTTACAAGAGATCGGAATGCTGCTTGGGTTAAACTCTAAAACATCCCAGTGGGCAACAGCTCTGACCAAGAAACTACTTCTTTTGCCACAGAATGCATTAATGCAGTAATGTCCTACCTCATGCGAAAGCAATTTCTTATTTCTGCAAGGGGTTAGGCAAAGATCTTATCAACAGCATGCCTGAAAAGAAAAGCTACAGACCAAGCTCCTGTATTCAGGAATATACAATCCCATTTCCTCTCTGGGACAGATCTGCCCGTGTCCCTTGTGTGATCGTACAGCAATCACATAACTGCAGGTCATATAATAATGTGTACATATGTACATGAAATATAAATATGTATGTGTGTGGAATGGTATGGAGTGGAATGGAATGGTGTAAGACTGTTTGACAGGTATTCATTTTAAAATGAGCTTGACGCCTTCCAAACTTTAACCCTCGATTTCATACTCTCTAAAAAAAAATCTGATTTTTGTTTTCATTAACTGAGACAATTAATTAAATACTATCTTGTCATAAATTTCCCTGTTTTCAACAAGATGCATGCATTTTTAAATAGTAACACAACTAAACATGTTTGTATTTTATCAGCCTTTTGTAACATTCTGCATTTTACCATACAGTGACACATTCATTAATATGTCACGAGTAATTAAACTGCATTCAAGTGAGTGAGGGGGTATTTTTTATGGCACGTCAGTTTATATGGAAAATAAGTAATACCACTGAAGAAAATATACAAATGGCAAAATATTTTCCTTGTTAAGATACTCATTTTAATATACTGCTCAGTATCTGAGACTATTTAAAGAGATGTAAAATAGCAAACTCCTTCAAAATTATTCCCAAGTTACCTCTTTAAATAGATAAGTAAATACATGAGAAATAATGGTATCATGATACTAAGGTCTTTAACGTTCTGTTCTCTTGGGATCTGCATGCCCTGAGTCATGAAATACAGGTGTCTTTCCACTAGTTTGGACAGTTCAGATTGCTCAGTCGCTGTGTGTTTTGAGCCTCACATCAGCAATGCAGCTCTGATATCTAAATCTTATAATGACCATTATCTGTTCCTAATGGAGGATAACACATTTGATCTACAAATTCTTTCTCAGTTGTTACATGTGACCTACAAAATCACAGAGAGATTCTTAAAGCTCTGAAATCATAACCCCAAGTCTGCAG